CACACGCCTGATTCTGATATTGTAGCATGTGCTTTACAGAACGGCAGTCTTCACAGCCATGTGGGGGAGAGAGAGAGAGAAAAAAAAAAAAAACTCGGTCTCTCGACAGTTCTCCAGATGTGTCTCGTACTGCATATGCCAACCTGTTGCTGATCGGTTTCTCTTTCCCGGCACCACGCCCTTCTCTACAACCTTTTCCAAACCACCGTGGTGCTTGACATAGTAAACTTATTTCAGTTTTCGAGACAAGAAGTTGTTAACGGGTCAAGTTTAACTACCTCGAAGAAGACTGTCGAGGTAACACGACTGATCATCACAACCGTGTAGCAGAAGAACGTTTGATAGTCGAAGGTTTTTGTTTTATGTACAAAAGTCTTTGTTTTATCCTTTGAATATTTTCTCCAGGTTATGCTGGTGTGTTGTGAAATTAGGAGGCAGATAGACTGAATGTCTCTGCACCACTTTTTGGTGAATTGATGTATGACAAGTTAGATTTTGTGAGGGCCCTTTGGTAGCGAGTACATAGTGCGGAGGCGCAGATAGATCAATGCGGTCTAAGGAGAAGGGCGCTGCGGGGAGTTACCAGGGGATCTTGCCGACGCTCGACACTTAGGGGAAGGATGAGACGGATATACAATCAGACGGTTACTGGTACCATCGGAATTGGAACTCTTCGCTTGCTGCTGAAGATGGGAATTGAACACTTATGGGAGTGTCCCGAGTGCTGTGATGTCGATTCTTAATTCAACATTCAGGTTTTTGTTTTAACCGCTAGCGTTCTCTTCTACCAAACTCACCTTGTTGATCTTCTCATGGGTAGAAATGGGTAGAAAGCATTCGAAAATTGCATTTAACCTCTCTCGGATCTACACACCTGGTCTTGTCGGTGTACAAAAATAATGAGCTAGTCGGACCAACTGACAAGCAGTGCACCAACGCATGAGGGAAGGAGCATGAACAGCGTAACGTTGTCGGGACTAGGTTTGTGGGTAACGACAAATCTCTCATACTAACACGATTGCGTGACCTGTGAGTAAAGTATGGTGAAGCAAATCTATGCCCTATTTGAGACTGATATAATGAGTTGCTTGCTTCCTTTGCCAAACAAAACTTCGTCACGTTCAACCAGGATCCCAAAGAGGGGAGCTTTAGGCTATAATTGCGACTAAGGTTATGCGCGCCATATAATATGGCTTAGGATTACTCGCCATCAAGTAGCCCTGAAAAGGACGGCTCTCCTCCGAACTTCTACCCCCGCATTATAGCGGCAACAAATATCCTTAGTTCGGAGGAGAGCCAAACAAGGCTCTCCTCCGAACTTCTAAACCCGCATTATGGCGGCAACAAATATCTTTACGGAGCTCAGTCCTATTAGAAATATTCGAACTTCCGGCGACGAACGAATCGCGGCAAAACTAGGATCGGCTCCGTATAACGAAACAAATGCTCTAACAGGGTCTCGGTCTCAGCGATATGTTAATTGCGGACCTGTTTCTGTGACTATGCCTCACCGACGACAGTATCCTCCGCGCCGCTAACGCATCTCCTGCAACTTGTTCCAATTAATTTGCTCGTGTCCCAGGCACCTAGTTTAGCCTCCAATCCGCGCCGCGCGGAGCGGCGCGATGGATACTCGTCGACGCTAACCTGCCTCGGCGCACGTGGTCTTCCCGCCATGTGGCTGTTATCGTCAGTAATGTTGCGTGTCTCGAAATTGTCAATGGTCGCTAGTATTATCTGTAGAAACGCTCGAAAGTGTCAACAGTCGCTATTATCGTCTGCTAATATCGCGTTTGCAGTGTTGCATCTCTTGAAATTGTCAGGTAATCCTAGTTTTGCCTCGATTCCTTCGTCGCCGGAAGTTCGCATATTCGGCAGCCATAATGCCGAGGTAGAAGTTCGGAGGAGAGCCAAAAGGACACTTGCAGTGTTGATGCGATCAAGAGAGACAGACAAATATACTGTCCCGACCGATGACGAAGTCCTTCACCGTGCAGTTAAAAGGCGACCCGGTCACCGATGATTTATAACCAGTTCCTCGTGGGAACAGTTAGTAGAGACATGGCCGGATTTAGATAATGAGGCCCTAAGTAACATAAAGACTGAGGCCCCTATTGTTTAAATTACACCAGCCAATCTCAGGAAAAGTTATATATATATATATATATATATATATATATATATATATATATATATATATATATATGCCTTTTAAATATATGGATAATGTAAATATATAGTCGTTTAGCTCTTAGCAAAGAAAACGTAAAAGAAAAAAATATGCTTGCAAAATCACACAAATTATATTGTACAATCCTCTAAAAAGCTATATTTAAAAAAAATTGCATGTAAAATATATTGTAAGGAAATTGTATTTGTGAGTGGAGGGTGGGGAAGGGGGGGGGGTGTATACGAATTTGTTGAAGCCCCTGGCGATTGCGAGGTCCTGAGCTGTAGCTTATTAAGCTATTACCTAAATCCAGCACTGAATAAAGGTACTTTGGACTGGCTGCTGCATCGTAGGACTGAGCACGCATTGATATCGATTGTGAAAACATAAAATAACCCAACCTAGTTGGACCAGGGTTTTAAGTTACTGCGTAACTGACTGGTGCCACCCTTGTTAAAACAAAAGTAAAGGACTCTTTTCCGCGCCCTTATGCTTATCGGGCATATAGGGCTAACGGTGCTCCCCTGTGCTATACAGTTAAACTGGGTTTCTGGGATTAATACCCGGCAAATTCTCATCCGAATAGAGGCTCACTGAGTCAACGTGTTCTACAAGCACAGCACGCACGAGAAGGTAAGAAAACAGGAGGCATTCAGCGATACTATTGGGAGGATAACATTAGGAAAAGGACCCTGTTGCAGCAAATGCATCTTGAGCATCGAGGGCTTAAAATCACAGTGTGCTGGAGATCCATGGCAGCCTACCTTCATCGTGAAGACGTCACCTGATTAACTAATTAATTAATTCCATTAATTCGCAGGCAACTTTCAAACGCACTGCACACCAGCCCAGTTCGAACTGCGACGACTGCAGTACAAACATATCAACACATTGATGGATTCCAACCAATCAGAGGCAGGGTTGAAATCACAAACGACAAGTTTGACCAGAAGTCAGGATTCTCTTGATGGGGGAAAAGTTTTTCTTGACAGACTAACATAACGGCATTTGTTTTTATTTGCGGGCTGTGTAATTCATATAAACAAGTGGCTTGGTAACTACTATTTGTAGCTTTTGTTTTGATGTGAAACTAGCTCTGGTAAGTGCAGTAGTAATGTTGAAACAGTTGTGGCGGGCACTCTAGGGTGTTGAACTAACTAAACTTCACTAAACTCAGCTGACAATTCTGAACTGCATTTCATTGACTGCAGATGTGAGATTTGATTTTTATTTGGGACGAAACAATTTTGAGATATTTTCCTATTCAGAAGTTCCTCTACATGAATGCTTCACTCATATAAAGCACATAAATCTGTAATAAAGAGTCATACTGGCACAACTATAATTATAATGTTTTATGACACTTTCAGACACGTTAATTAATTAGTCATTAATGACATTAGTTAGGTTCGTAGAATAGTCAGAGAAAATGACACGGCATGTTATGTTATTGTTATTAATTCAGTTGCAGTGAAATTTTACTTTGTCAAAATTTATAAATTATTTTTAACTTATAATATTATTAATATTAATGCCGCTAGTGCTGACATAATAAAAATACAAGGTGTCTTTATTGAATTTTTATATCATCTGTAAGTTACTAAGTACCAATCTACTTTTTAAAATTTAAAGTAAAAATTACAATATTTATATTGCCTTTTCAGTTTCAGTAATTAGGCTCTAGATGTAGGTTTCCTAATTCCTTCAAACTAACTAACTTAAAACAAAAATGACAGTATTGTACTATTTATTAATTTTGACATGGCCATCCTGTGTTCTATAGTTGTACCTATTACTACTGACTACTGTATTTATAGTGAATGGAATTACAACACATGTTATGTGATTCCCTTCACCTCTGAGTTTTCAATTCATAGCATCTTCTTGCTATTTTTTTGGCAGATGCTGGTTCCATCTAAACTAGTTCAGAGGTTTTCAAAGTGGAAATAAATCATTTAAACTACTGGGCAGCAAATCCCCAAGTTGGACACACATTATAAATGCTAGACAGACATTGACAAACGCAGCAAAATGGCCACTTGGGTAGCCAAACTTCTGGAGTGTGGTTTGACCAGATGTAAAACACAAATAAAAACCCATTCTTTGGATATGACTCAGAAATATTATCCTTTCGCAGACTATGTGTTGTTTGATACTGAAAGAGTTACAGTATTTGAACACGCTTTGGGGAGGGGAAAACTGGAGCATGTCATGATTGCAGGAACATGTAAGGGGAAGAAAGGCAAGAAGCGACAGAGAAAGAAGATGTTCAACATCATTACTTGGAGTGACATTTGTATTTTTTTTTAAAGTAATAACAGATGTAGTGCAGATCAAGAAGATGGCAGAGAGTTCATATATAGGCACCCACAAACACTTAAGAGTCACCAACTAGAAAAAGGTGTTGTAAAAAAGGAGAGAAGGTTAGCACTCCCCTTGACAAGGACAGATGGGACTCTTGTGGCTTATAACATACAAAGGCACGTCTCTCTGCTTTGGAGACACACCATTTTTTAGCATGATGCTGACACCCATCCTGTGCGGATTGGTCTATAAAATATAGGTCTAGCCCTATATGCCTGGAAAAGCGTCCTTTACTTTTTTACTTTTTTTAAACTGGAAATAGAAGGCCAGTTACAGAGATATATAGAGGCAGTTGATATCTACAACAGTGAACCATTATGTTACCACAAATCGGATGATGATTTCTAGTTACAGGTGTGTTGGTGTCAGTCTCATATGCATGCATACACACAAACACACACATGCAGTTGAAATGATTGAAACAATTTTTTGTACAGATAGGAGTGCCTAGGATGCAATTTTTGAGATGGAAAGCATTACAATTGATGATACTTTCCTAACGGGGTCAGAAGGTGTCACCTTATTTATCGACGACAAGACGCTGGCTGGTACTCCAGCACCTGTGGCAGCATCAACTGTAGTGAAAGCAAGGTGCCTAATTTTGTTTTGTTTCTTTTAAATAAATGATCTCAGTTTTGAACATAACCTTTGAACTTAGATGTTATTAAAAGATTCTTAGAGTATTGTGTTCCTAGCAGAGGAAAAATACTAACATTCTTAACTATCCAAATACTTTGAGACATGCTCATAAACAGTATCATTTCTAGTAAAACAGAAATATGTTGGCTATATTAAATGCAATAATGGTTTAGAGAGGACAGCAGTGGAGGATGTAGTTCCGGAGAGAAGAGGTAAGGTACAACTGGTCTGATGAGGGTCAGAGACAGTCATGGACACTGTGGGTCTGAATGTTTATGATGCTGGAAAATTGACAGAGGACAGCTAGTCTGATGGCAGACACAGGGAATCATGGACACTATGGGTGTGAACGTTTATGATACTGGAAACTTCAAAGAGCACAGCTAGTCTGATGGCGGACACAGGGAATCATGGACACTATGGTTGTGAACGTTTATGATGCAGGAAACTTCAAAGAGGACAGCTAGTCTGATGGCAACACAGGGAATCATGGACACTATGGTTGTGAACGTTTATGATACTGGAAACTTCAAAGAGGACAGCTAGTCTGATGGCAACACAGGGAATCATGGACACTATGGTTGTGAACGTTTATGATGCAGGAAACTTCAAAGAGGACAGCTAGTCTGATGGTAGACATAGGGATTTCATGGACACTATGGGTATGAACGTTTATGATGCAGGAAAATTGACAGAGGACAGCTAGTCTGATTGTGGACACAGGGAATCATTGACACTATGGGTGTGAACGTTTATGATACGGGAAACTTCAAAGAGGACAGCTAGTCTGATGGTAGACATAGGGATTCATGGACACTATGGGTATGAACGTTTATGATGCAGGAAAATTGACAGAGGACAGCTAGTCTGATTGTGGACACGGAATCATTTACACTGTGGGTATGAACGTTTATGATATGGGAAACTTCAAAGAGGACAGCTAGTCTGATGGCAACACAGGGAATCATTTACACTATGGTTGTGAACGTTTATGATGCAGGAAACTTCAAAGAGGACAGCTAGTCTGATTGTGGACACAGGGAATCATGGACACTATGGGTGTGAACGTTTATGATATGGGAAACTTTAAAGAGGACAGCTAGTCTGATGGCAACACAGGGAATCATGGACACTGCGGGTATGAACGTTTATGATACAGGAAACTTCAAAGAGGACAGCTGGTCTGATGGCGGACACAGGGAATCATGGACACTATGGGTGTGAACATTTATGATACTGGAAACTTCAAATGAACAGCTGGTCTGATAGCGGACACAGGAAATTTTTAACACTGGATATTAACAATCAGGAGGTGGGAAAGTTGGCAGGAGACAAGCAGCATTTTTGGCATGCTTTGATCAGAGGGATTTCCTGCAAAGGTTCTGCAACATGGTGATGATGATAAACTCACATCAGCTGCATTTTTGTATGAACATTTTTTTTTTTTTTTTACCTGTGTGGGGGTTCTGGCACCCTATTTTTGGTGGGAAGGGAATAATAGATCTACTGCCCTTTTAACAAGCATGTCCTGAAAGGAGACTAAAGGGTTTGTTGAGATAGGGTGTATAAATATATATGTAATAGCTATCTTAATATACGCAAGTGAATCATGGACAGCTGGTAGATTAATGAAAAATTATTTAGAAGGTTACAGAGATATGGTTCTATAGATGAATGATAATACCCTTGACCGGTTAAAGAGTAATGAGGATATCTTGACATAAACTGACTCACGGAGAGAACCAGAAAGAGACAATCTACATTTAAGAAGAGACAGGGTATACTGAGCTGAAAAGCACAGCTTTGCTGTCTGACTATAAAAACACATCCAGCCATCTGCCCTTCTGAAGAGCGACGCAGAAAAAAAAATTGTGTCTGATATATATGTTCTTCCATGCCATGTTGCCAAACTGTCAAACATCCTGTTTTGGTTTTCCTCTGCCTCTCTTAGAAGTAGTTAATGTTCTTTGGATATTTTCTCAAGATATGCCAGTCTGTGTGGAAATGAACAGGCAAATAGACTGGGTGGTTCTGCACCACTTGATGGTGAACTGATGAATGAGAAAGCTAAATGCCAGTGTGTTGGGAAATGAACAGACAAATAGACTGGCTAGTTCTGCACCACTTGATGGTGAACTGATGTATGAGAAAGCTAAATGCCAGTGTGTTGGGAAATGAACAGGCAAATAGACTGGCTGCTTCTACACCACTTGATGGTGAACTGATGTATGAGAAAGCTAAATGCCAGTGTGTTGGGAAATGAACAGACAAATAGACTGGCTGCTTCTACACCACTTGATGGTGAACTGATGAATGAGAAAGCTAAATGCCAGTGTGTTGGGAAATGAACAGACAAATAGACTGGCTAGTTCTGCACCACCTGATGGTGAACTGATGTATGAGAAAGCTAAATGCCAGTGTGTTGGGAAATGAACAGGCAAATAGAAAGCTGGTTCTACACCACCTGATGGTGAAATGATGCATAAGAAAGCTAAATGTTGTAAGGGTCTTTTGGGAGCAAGTAAACAGTGAGGAGACACAAATAGATCATCACGATCTGAGGAGAATAATGCTGTATGGAGTGACCAGACGATCTGGCCGACACTCAAGGGAAGTGCGAGACGGATGCACAGTCAAACTGTTACTTGTGCCGTCAGAATTGGAGCTCTGGACTTGTTGCTGAAGATGGGAACTGAGCGCTCATGGGAATGTCCCGGATACGGTGATGTTGATGCTTAATTCAACATGCAACATTATGCCTCTGTTCCTTTCTGTTTTTCCTTTTGTCACAACATACTCCAATGCTTCCCTTTCTCATGATGTGCGGTACAAACAGTCTGGATCATCTTCTGTTATTTAATAGTTCTTTTTGTGAGTTAATTTCATGCAAGACACGACCTTTGCATTATTTTTCTGTACTGTTTTTATTATTCTTTAAAACCAAATTGTGCATTATCATCATCATGCAGCCAAGTCCTTTGCAGAATGTTGATTTTATTAAAGCATGCGCCCTACTCGCTAGCTGAGTTGGTTAAACCTGACTGTGTGGCGACTGGGTGACAAACTCCTTGTGGTCTGGGTTCACACCCACGGGTAGGCAGAAAAGCCATATTTCTCCCAGATTTACGGTATCTGTCATGGAATCAAGGCCGAATGGTTGCGATATCAACAGTGCCAAGCCAAAAGGTTAACTCGTCAGTAACAAATTTAAAGCATGCCTGAAAACCCTATGGTTGCCTATAAACTTGTCAGCTCTCCTTGCAATAACGGTCGCTAGTTGGACGGCGACGGCCGCTTAGTCAGAGTTCAGTCCCCTGGCTGCAGTGCAATTACGGAGTGGAAAAGAGGGAACGACACGAATTACATAATTAGGGTTAAGGTTTGGGTTAGAGTTAGGGTTTGGCTAATGTGAGTCGCAGCGCGTGATCTAGATGCTATGTTGAACTCACTGTGTTTTGTGATTCGTGCCTTGTCCACTCCATAATTGCACTGCAGCCAGGGGACTGAACTCCGACTAAGCGGCCGTCGCCGTCCAAGTAGCGACCGTTATTGCAAGGAGAACCAACTTTTCTGCCTTGTGAACTTTCATGCTTAGGATGTCAGTGATAATACTCTGTGTCCACCATTAGTCTGTTCAACCTCTGCATTTTCTTCCAGGAACCATTTCCTTTATTACTGCTGTCTCCAAACCAATATGGCATTTAATATTGTCATGGTGAGTTTCTTGGGATGCTTGGTAGCTTCCCTTTGCTTTTCCCATCTGCAGAGCTTTAGACCAGGACTATTCAACTAAGTTGACTCAGGGGCCAAAATGTTCAAAAATGGGCATCGTCACCGGCCAGAAGCCCCAGCCCCAGCATAGAAAGACCATAAATGCAGTTTAACTAGTAGTGATCCGTGGGCCACTTGCTAGGCCTTGGCGGGCCAGATTTGGCCTGCGGGCCGCCAGTTGAATAACCCTGCTTCAGACAATGTCCTCAGCTTCTAGCAGCCAGTTATGTTGCCAGGGTGAGTACCTACAAAAGGCACCTAGAGTTATCAGCTTATCCTGGTGGATGCTGGGCTACCTGCCCTACAGCTAAATATGTTTAATAATTCATCTGTGTTTTGTTCTGTTGTCCTTGACAAGGAATAATTTAAACAGTTTTTCTTATTTTCCTTGCAGTTATGCCTCGCGATCAAGAGCTCCAAGGGATAATGGTGGATCTTTCTTAAACAGCAAATCTGTGATCATTACGGAGGTGGATAGCGATGGGTACTGATTATTATTAAATCTCACTTTAAAAATTTGGGGGGGTGGGGGGGGGGGCGACTTTGTTTTGAGTGTTTTTGACATAATGAAGGTTATTTGACCTTTAAAAAAAAAAAACAGAACAAAAGGATACAATGTAAAAGATTGACTATTTGACAAGATAATTTTTTTTTTTACTTGTCAATTTTGACTTTGAAACCAGAACAGTTCAGTTTGAACATAAGTGACTATTTGACAAAATGACTATCTGATTGAATATGCAGACCAGTGATAAAGGATGCTGTGTGGGCATAAATAATTTTGACAACACAATGTATTTTGACCATAAAAACATAAAATACATTTTGGACATAAATGATTATATCTGAACTGGACTTCAAAAACAAGAGAATCTTGGACATAAGGCAGCGTACTTTACCACATAAATTATTTTGTAAATTCAAAAAAGGAGGATATAGTTTAGATGTAAGTGACTATATAGGGAGTTAGATTTTAAAACAAAGATGTTGGCTAAATGTTTTTGTATGCGTGTGTATGTGAATCTATAAGTATATATGATTGTGTATGTGTGTGATTAGGTCATGTGTATGAATGTAGGTGTGGTATGCATGTTTGTATCTTTATGAGCATGTTTGTATGAATAAGTGTTGAGACTATGTTTGTGTGAGTGTATTAGGCTGTACCGAATATTAGCTTCGAGGCCGAATAGTGGACCCAATAACTATTCGGTATTCGGCCAAATAGTTGAGGTTGGGTCGAATACGAATAGTGGTTACCTCACAACCGTTTCTGGACTGGTGAAAAAAAAACATCAAGACTTCCCACCTTGGTTTATACTGTGAAGCATAATCTTTGTGCACCACCTACGAGCGTACCAAGTTCCGCTTTATTTCCATCTTGCATGTGTTGCGAGTAGTGTTGTCGGCTTGATTTCTTTGAGTGGAGTGTCCTCTTAGTTGATTCTTTGAAGTAACGGGAGTTCGTCATCATTTATGGGTGTCGTATCTGTTCTTTCGTCGTCTCGTGGAAACGGCAGCGGCTGAATGTTTTGATGGACGTTTGGTTTCTTGATTGTCTTTGTTGTTTTATCTTCTGGCGTTGGCCGCCCGGCGTGTGGTTTCGTGAGCTCGCGGGGGGCTGGGCGACTTGTAAGGTCGGCATTGTTTTCTTCGTCTGCGTTATTTTTGTTTTTGATGTTTCGCCTTGCGGGTTTTATATTTTGACTCTCTGTATTTGTCGTATTTTCCTGTTTAGTACAGCTGGAAATACCTTCAGTGAGACAAAAAGCTGGCCTAATGCTGACAACATGGAACGAAGGTTTTTCATGGAGGTGTGTCAGCACACGAACTAATACGTGCTGCAGGAGATCGCAGATTGTGGCGAGGCATAATCGCCCATACCAGCCGGCAAAGCACATGATGATGATGATTCACTATTCGTATTCGTATTCGGCCGAATAGTTGGTCCAGCTATTCGTATTTGGCCGAATAGTGAAAATCCCTATTCGGTAAAGCCCTAGAGTGTATATCTTTATGAGCATGTTTGTATGAATAAGTGGTGAGAGTATGTTTGTGTGAGTTTGTATCTTTATGAGCATGTTTGTATGAATAAGTGGTGAGAGTATGTTTGTGTGAGTTTGTATCTTTATGAGCATTTTTGTATAAATAAGTGGTGAGAGTATGTTTGTGTGAGTTTGTATCTTTATGAGCATGTTTGTATGAATAAGTGGTGAGAGTATGTTTGTGTGAGTTTGTATCTTTATGAGCATGTTTGTATGAATAAGTGGTGAGAGTATGTTTGTGTGAGTTTGTATCTTTATGAGCATGTTTGTATGAATAAGTGGTGAGAGTATGTTTGTGTGAGTTTGTATCTTTATGAGCATGTTTGTATGAATAAGTGGTGAGAGTATGTTTGTGTGAGTTTGTATCTTTATGAGCATGTTTGTATGAATAAGTGGTGAGAGTATGTATGGATAATTGTATGTATTGTTCATTAATGCCTTTGTGTTTTTTCTTTCACTGTTTATATTATGCGTCTTGCTGTGAACGTAATGTGCCTTTTAGATAAAATATCAATGTGTTAAAAATGAGTTTTTTTGTAAGGACTGAATGTAAGACCAGCCTGAGAGCCTAGTTTGTGACCCTTTATAAAGTTTGTTCATTCATTCATTCTACATGTAACCAAAAAATTTGTCCTTTTTTGTACATGTTTTTGTATAAACATGGATAGTAAATGCTAATAATTCCTGAATACAGGGTCTCTTTCACTTATGACTGAGTTCCGTTGGGACTAACAGCTTGTACATCTGACGGGTCATTAGTCAGATTTATATTTTTCAACACCATTTTCATTTAAATAGGCTATAAAAGTTGTACATAAAACACAAACATTCACTTATAATTATTTTACATACTGTCAAAAATATGTAATATGTACCTAACCTCATAATTTCTTGAAATGTTTCGATCTACCAATGTAGTTATCTTTCTTCATAAATTGATATTTATTTACTTGTTTTTGTGTGTGTCTGTGTGTGTGTGGCCGTAGGTGCGCATGGTTGCAAGCCGAGGAGAAAGTGTACAAAAACAGCAAGTAATTCACGCAGACTGCCGGCATTGATATTTTAAAACACAGCATGTTTCTCCATGACCAGATATGTGGACACAACTATTGTTTGTTTCTTTCAGCTCTGGCAGTGACCGATCTTCACTTGGTCTGTTACCAAGTAACTGCTTGTTGGGTGAGTAGAGTTATTACATAAGGTGAAGAACACTTGTCTTGTTATCTTGTAGGAAACAAATAATGTAGATTCATATTTTTGTCGACCGATAGACAGCTGTCGATGAGGGAATGTGGTGAACATCTTGTCAGCCGTCTTTACCTCCCAGGACTTTAAGAAACCCATTGTAGGCTGGGTCGACCTGTAAGCCAAGGTCATTTTTGAAAGAAAAGATTTGCGTTATTACATAATTATTTATTTATTTATTACCGGCTTATATTATTATTGATATTTTGTGAAACATTATTCTTTTTCTTCATCGCATTTCACAACTGAGCGTATTCTTTCAACCAGTGAGTCCTTGTAGATGTGTTTATAAGTGGTTGGATTTTGTCTTGACTTCTTACCTGTTGAGAGCATCTCATGCTAACTCCCTGGTCACCTCTTACAACATGTATGATTTGTTACAGTGTAGTGTAATCTTTAGTTTCCTTACAGGTCTGATTACACCTTGTGAGAGCATCTCATTTTAACTCTCTGGTCACCTCTTACAACATGTGTGATCGACTACCGTGTAGGGTAATCTTTAGTTTCCTTAAGGGTCTGATTACACCTGGTGAGAGCTGAAATGATCATCATCTGGTGCCTTGCCGGCCGACGTGGACAATATACCTTTCCACAGTCTGCAGTCTTCAGCAGCTTGTATTATTTCATGTGTTACCCCGTGTGAGTTCCGGGGCCCTATTATAGGGAAAACAAGAATAGACCCACTGCCTACCCAAAAGCATGTTGAAAGAGTCAACTAAGGAAAGAGGCAAGGAACCAACAGTCTGCATACAAAGTAGTCAGATCTGTCAAACGGATGCACATGCAACACACAGGTTCTGGAACAGGACTGCAGTCCAGAAGTGGGCGAATAGCCAGAACTTTCCGCTGGAGTTTACAGCTGGTGATTGCTAAGAAGAAGATTATTTCATGTGTTGACACCCCTCCATGCCATGACAAAAGGCTGTCAAGATTCATTTTGCATTGTCTTCTTCTGTCTATTTTCTATAAGTCTTTCTAGTGGTCACATGTTCCAGTATTTTCCCTCAAAACATGACCGAAATATTATAACTGTCTCTTTCTGATGTTTGTGATAAATTTTCTTCGAACCATTTCTTTTTTCGACACATCTGGGTTGCTTTTTGTTAACTGCCTAGGAATTCTAATAACTAAAATATCTTAAATAAAATCTAAAATATCTCTCTGCAATCCACAAGGTATAGTAAATGTAAGCAAGCAACAAACAAAAGCAAATAACTTAGAATAAATGTTGTGTTTGTGATAAGTAATGAAGTGGAGCCCAAAAATAATTATGAGCATTTAGTAGAGAGACATCAACAGACAAAGAAGAAGTCTAGACTGAGAGATGTAATACAATAAAGACAGAAGTAATTATAAAAGACAGCGATGGCTAAGGAGATGTAACAACACACAGAGAAGAGTATTAGGTACTGAGATGAGGAGAGACTTAAGGAGAGCAAAGTTTATGAAGGTCTCGTGTCAGTTTGTTGATGACCTGTACTCCATGGAAATTTTAAAAAAAAAAACAAGAAAAAGAACTTGAGATGATTTATGATCTTTTCACAGAGAGGGGTTGGTAAGGGTGTTTAAAGCAGAGTTCATGAAGGCCTTGTATAAGTTTGTTGACAACCTATACTTCATGAAAGATTTAACAAAACAAAAACAAGGAAGGTGTTTAAAAAACACACCAAGGAAGGTGTTTACAAAAAAAAAAAAAAAAAGTTAGTTCCTGTCCTTTAAAAGACTCTGCAGAACCATACTCAGTCATTTTTTGGGCTGTTTTTGATTTTACTCCGGAGTTTTACATTTAGGAGTTTTCTATTGCTTAGTGAATTATCGGCTATCGATGCCACAAATGAAACCAACACAAATCGCTGACACCTACAGCTGGAATCGAACCCGGAACTACAGAAGATATTTACAGGACTTAATAATAATAGTGTGTGCCTCTAGAAGACTAGAAGAGAACATTATTTACTGTCATTAACTTGAGGCACATTTAGTGTATGCCTGAGTCATGTATTTGTAACTCCCCATTTTTTTTTCACCTAGTCCTGGAACTATATTCTTGTAATTTATCAGTGCATGCATTGCATTTTAAAAATCAATGAATTTCATTTGATACAACCTCAAACATCGTTTGAAAATGTACTCTCTCCTGTCTTCAGAAATTGAGAATGATCTTCTCCGAGAAGGGAGTATATGTGAGTACAGCAGTTTTATCATACATGTTTTCTTTTTATAATCCTGTTTGAACTTTATCTTCGCCTAGTTTCTTCTTATCTTCTGGTGCTGTGAGGAGTTACCAGAGGATCTGGCAGACAATCAGTACTCGGGGAAAGGGCATGACAGATATACAATCAGACAGTTACTGGTACCATCGGAATGGGAACTCTTCGCTTGCTGCTGAAGATGGGGACGGAGAGCTGATGGAAGTGTCCTGAGTGCTATGATGTCAATTCTTCATTCAACATTCTTCTTCTTCTTCATCCTTCTCCTCCTCTTCTTCTTCTTCTTCCTCTTCTTCTTCTGTTCTATTCTTCTGTCTTAATTTTCCCTTTCTCTTGTTTTGCCGTTCATTTTCCAAAAGAGGATAAACCCTCAACCAACTCACATGTCCAATGTTTACTTTTTTCATGATCGGCTTTATTTTACAGCTAAAATGTTCTGGTTATGCTGTTAACAATTTCATTATCCTAGTGTTTGTTTCCCATGGTGAACAGTTAAAAATAAAAATCACTCTCCTGGTTTTCAGGCAAAGGTACGAGGGTCACACCGTGGAAGAGATTGGGGCCTCACTGTGTAATTCCCCCCCCCCCCCTAAAAAATGATATACTGTAGTCAGCCGATTTATATTTTATATATATATATACATATTTGTTACAATTGTCTTATAATTTATTGTTAATGTACATGATATCAAAATACTTGTCCTATATAATAAAGGCTTGATTAAAGATGCTGCATCAGCTGATACTCGTGCACTTGCCAGTTCATCCTCCGTGAACAGCAGCAAGAAGAATCAGCTAATGGATTCACAGTCCTCTAGAGAATACACCTGTGACACCAATGAATTCTTGACCACAGTGAAAAAGTGTCCTCAAGGTAAGCAGTTTCATTTGTGTGTTAGTAGTTCTTTTTTTTTCTCTCTCGGGATATTGTTGTTTTTATTATGATTTTGTTTATATGGCTGTGGTTACTGCACCTGGTAATATTTCAATTGGCTAACATTGTGTATGCATCTGAGGGCTGCATAGCCTATGAGAGTAGCAAAGAACAGCGACAATATAATCTGTCATTCAAGACAGACTGCTTGTTTGTCCATTTATGGACTGAAGTCTTGTTCCAGAACTTGAGTTTAATGTGTGCATTCATTTTACAGATCTTACTTACTTGTATGAAGGAAGTTCCTCGCCTCTCAGGCAGACAGACTCTTGACTTTGAAGGAAAAACCCTACTTAGTCACTTTTTATCAAATGATTATCAGTGAGTCTGCCCCCCCCCCCCCCCCCATACATAATGGGGTCTATAGAATCCTCATAGGAAATTAACTGATTCACTAAGTGCAGCTTGTAAGTCAAAGAATGAATCATTTTCTTTGCAGATGGTGCTACTGAAAGAGATGCAGGCAGATATAAACCACAAGCCCTGTTTCAAAGTGTTCAAGAGGAAGATGAGTCCAGGCTCAACAGTTCAAGCCCTACACAGAGAGATCCTCAAGTGCAACACGGGAACAACTGGGATAATACTGAAGCTCAGAAGAATGCTGATTCAGGCATGGGTCAGGGCACTTTTACCGGCAGCCAGACGTCTAATGGCAGCGGAGTTGTCTTGAGTGGGCTGGGTACACAGTCATCAGGGAGAGATTCCAGGAAGCAGAGTTCGGAAGTTTGGGGTGGCAGTGAAACACAGAAGAGTGGAGACTCCGGTGTGGGACAGGTCACCTTTGCAGGCAGTCAGGTGTCGGCTGTCATTGGAGCTGTCTTCAGTGGCTTGGGTATCCCACTGAGGCGTTCAGCTGGGAGGGCCAACTTTCCTGTTGAGGAATTCAACTTACCCCACACTGAGGATGATGACGATGCAGATCAGTCTGTTTATCAGGTATGTCTTCTTTTGTGTATTCTTTTAGATGTTAATTTGTATTCCCCCTATGGGTTGCATAGTCCCCATTGTGAAGGGTCAAGGAAAAATAGACTTAACTGCTGCTTAGTGGTAAATGCCATGGTGTAATGCTAGATGCTCACCTGTAGATCTTAAGGTTATGGGTTTGAATCCAAATGGAGCCACATTAGAAAAAAAAAGATTTTGTCTTAAATGGATGTCAGGTGAAGTCCTGGGACATAAAGGCGGCCCGGGTGTTGTTGCACATATCACTAGCTGAGTGCCGATTGGTCTATCAAATATAGGTCTAGCATTATATACCGAAGACGTAGACAAGGATCCTTTATTTTTTACTTTTACCGCTCCTTAACATCATGTAAAAGGTAACTGATTTAAGTTTGCTAAAATCAGATTGTAGTCCTGAAAGGTGTGGCTATCCAGCCTGGCTGTAAAAAAGTACAAGCGTGCAAACCACACTTCTTAGATCTCATCCAGAAAAAAAATCAGAAGTGATCATTTGTATCATCATTACTGTTCATGACTTCTGTGTTGGTTTGCATTGTGATAATCTGCAAAAAAGAATCTTTATCCCTTCTGAAGAATAAAATAATCATAATTAGTAGTCCAGTTTCAGTAAGTAATCAATAATGTCACAGTATTGTGAGCAATTTAAACAAAGGGTGATATTGTACACACATGCAGTATTTCCGTACCTGTTGCTACCATTTGGGTGAAGGGTTAGTTCATTGTATATTCTCAGCGTATGTTAGTATGTGTGTGTATAAATATACACACATATACACACACACACACATACACTTTTCTCAATACTGAGTCTTTTAAGACTCAGATAACTGGTGCACACATGGAGGATGTAGAGTCCCTGAGGACATCCTCCTATGCTGAATTACAGATGAATAGAAGATAAATGATGAGAACACCCTGGAAAGATAAAAAGAGCAATGAAGATGTCTTGAAAAAAAAAAACGGACTCACGAACAGAACTCACACATCAGAAGGACCCCCTCTACATTCTATAGGCATGTCATAAGAAGGAGAAAACTGGAATAAATTGTGATGATGGGAAAGGTAGAGGGTACAGAGGGAGATGGAGAGAGAAGATGCTGGACAGTTTGAAATCATGTGAAATCATGGCATGGAAGATCATCTGTGTCCGAATTGATCAAAAGTACACAAGACAGAAGGCTGGGAAAGACACAACTAGCAACTCAACCCGGCTTGGACTATTAGAAGATGAAGATGTTGGTTTTAACTTCTGCTAAAAATGTGTGCAAATGGGACATGAAGGATACAGGATTCATTGGAACAAAATGCCATGGATCTTGTTGCATGGAGTGGGAAAATAAGAAAGGGAGCAGTGACAAAGGAGAAATTAGGTTAGCATAATCAGGTAGGACCACCCCACATCCTGCTGCCTAGAAAGTTAACACAGCTGCTATGCTATGACTACATCGCCCTTCATATATATATTGGGCTATAATTACCTACCCAACATGCCTCATTGTGTCAAAAGATATTCTTTATCATTTATTTTACGTTGCCACCATTAAAAATACAACTGCCTGTATTTAGAACTTTTTCTGTATAGCTGGGTGGAGGGGTTATGGTTTCTTTGCGCTTGAGGATTTAGAGCCGCATGGCTTTTGCAATCGCAACGGACTGGAGGTCAGGATTTTTTTTTAAATTTCCACCCTAGCTTTTGTTAATGCCTGGGTACATCAAAATGTGTGTTGTTTTCTCAAATATTTTTTTTTTTGGTCAATGGTGTTTGATTTTTCTTATAGGCTAAACTTGATCCTGACGATTTAGAGAAATTGGAAAACAGCTTTTCTGACTTCGGTGAATCCTCAGATGAAGGTGAGTACGCCTGAAACAAATACAGGGGAAGTGTTTTATTTCAGAATTAGTAAAAAGTGGACCTCTATTTTTACTAATGAGTAAAAAATCATAAAAAACTGAGATGCGATGTCTTATATGAGTTGCCAGAGTAACAGTAAGAAATAAAAACAGTAAAGAATTACAGAAGACTACATAATTAAATCTAAGTTAATCTTTTTTCTTTTAATATGTTCTTTTTCAAAAGCATGTTTTAAAACTAAGTATAAAATTTGAATGCTATTGTTTTGTTTTTAAATTTCTCGTTTGAATTATTGTTGATAGCTTTTATTGCTGTTGCATTCATTTTCGCTTCAGATTGTGTTGATGGTGGTACAGAAAAACAAGAATTAAGGTAAAGAAAGACACGATTTACAATTTCTCTTCTTTAATTCCTCCTCAAGCTTTGATTTTTCTATTTCCTTAATGAAAGTAGACTCACCCTGAACCTATCTTGATATCAATTTAAAGATCTATTGTTTACTTGCAGTTGCAATTATTAATTATGATTATTATGATAGTGGATCCTCAAGATCCTAATTTAATCAGTTTCATGACTGAGCTCGTATGGCGAATGGCTCGTATCCTGAAACTATTTTCCCCATCCAGCCCTCCAGAAATCACATCTTTTGTTTCTTTTTACCTGTGTTAATCATATTACCTGCATTGATTACAATAATTAATGTTCAAATACAATGTACTGAAACAAATTTTAAATAAATAAACCTATAATTTTCACAAACAAGTACCGAAATGTTATATCAAGCCTGTTCTGTTGTATGGTAGTGAATCTTGTAATGTGAGCAAACAAATTAAGAAGAGCTTGAAGGCAACTGAGATGTGGTACTTGAGAAGATTGTTGCGAGTACCTTGGACTGCCAGAATAACTAACTATGAATGCCTGGAAATGACTGGTGAAAGTAGAACGTTATTTACAACAATGGGAAGGAGACAAACAAAGTTCTTTGGTCATGTGATGAAAAAAGGAGCACTGGAAAATATTAAGATGACTGGAAAGATCACTGGTAGAAGAGGCAGAGGCAGACCAACAGAAATGATGGTGGGTGGCTTAAAACCGTGGCATGGAGGAATATCATCAGTGTAGTTGATCCAGAACACCAAAGACCGAAATCTGTAGAGATGCCATTTGGCAAGGCACTTAATGATGATGAAAATTTTCATAAAGAAACTTATTTTGAAGCTCAGGCAGCAATGGATAGGGAGGAATTACCTGTTGCTTAACTCCTCCTTGGGCAGTGTTAACCCGACCTGATCCATTTAAAAGTTATCGAGATACTGTCGGGTGACAACGAGAGCTCTCATCACCAGCTCGCATCCTGGATTTCTTCACGTATTCTGGGACAAAGAAATTTTGTGAGCCTGACCTCGTATTCTGAAAGACTCATATTCGAGTACACGTGCATCCTGAGGTTCCGCTGTACTGATATCATATCTTAGGTTAATGATAATAATTACTGCGTGCAGTTAGTATGATTTATATTCTTATAGTCTGTGCCACGTGGCCTTCATCATCGTGTCTGCCCGCAGCCTTCTGTCTGTAAAAAAAAAAGTCAAGAATCTTTTGATAAAGCAGGTATTTATCGTTAGACCTTACTCCTATAAATGTCTGCACTCAGTTTGTGATGTGATCAACACACCTATGTGAAACAGGATCACATTAAGCAGAAGCAGTACATCTGGCACTGCAAAGCCTCATGACAAAGTAAACTAGCAGCCGCAGCAAGACAGTTTTTCTACCAACTAGTTCAGTAATGGATAGAGAAAGCGAGACAGATTGTCTGAAGACTTCATAGTAGCTGTAATGAGCTGCTTTTAAGATTTGCTTGGTGATGTTATAAAAATGATGTTATCATACATTGCATGCATGATGTTTCTCAGTATTTTTTATGCTTCTCCTTATCTAGAATGGATTCAGGCCCAAAAGAAGATGACTCTGCACAGCCAAAGAACTTGATGTCGAAAATGGATGGCCCTTTTAAGATTCCAATGCCGCTGGCAACACCATCAAAGTTTGCTAGCAGAATGTATTTTGGTAAGTATTTTAAGCATGTGCAAATAATCCAAATCAAGTCACATTTTGTTCCCACTGGAATTTAACATTAAGAGGTCACATTGAGAATTATAGATGGTATTTAATAACGAGAATTTGAAAAGAACATTAGAATGATAAAATTAAATAAAATGTTTTGAAAATTAAAGCGATGAAATAGTCGACAAAGACTATTGAGGGGCAGACAAAGTGCATGGGGGTTCATAGCAAAGGCGAGTGAACGTCGCTTGATGCAACAAAGCCTGGCATATGATATCACAATGTCTAGTTTGAGAATGGAGGTGGAGGCAGTCACTGCTGTCTTCCGCTGGCTTGAGAATTGTCTGTACACATGCCATCATTGTAACTGACTCACAGAGCATGTTGAGAAAGGTAGAGACAGGCATGCTCCGTGGAGAGTGGCAAGCATCGCTTAAAAGGTCCAGGGAATATTTTCTCAAGGGGATGCCAGTGTGTTGGAAAATGAGTAGGCAGATAGACTGGCTGGTTCTGCACCACTTGGTGGTGAACTGATGTATGACATGCTGGATGTTGTGTGGGCCCTTTGGGGGCGAGTGAACAATACTAAGGAATAGATCATTACGGTCTGAGGAGAATGGCACTTCGAGGAGTTACAAGGGGATCCAGCAGACACTCGACACTAAGGGGAGTGGCGAGACGGATATACAATCAGACAGTTACTGGTATCATCAGAATTTTAACTATTCGCTTGCTGCTGAATATGGGAACAGAGCGCTAATGTGGGTGTCTCAAATGCTGTGATGTCGATTCCTAATTCAACATTCAACATTCATTCAACAAAGACCACATTCCTAATGTTAAATCTCGCATAGCCTTTTTTTTTTTTAATTAAAAGCTAGCAGCATGTAGAAAGGGGACATCCTGTCAAGAAAGGTTTTACATTTTAAATTAGAAGACTAAATTAAGCTTGTCACCTTTTTTACCTTTTCGTTTTATATAAATATATATATATATATATATATATATGAAATAGTCAGAAGAAGAAAAAACATGCATGTTTCATGTTACCATTGAATTGTCTTAATTCCAAATTATAGTACAGCTAACTACATCAACAGGGAAGTAAATATACTGAGTTTTGTGTTTACTATGTTATCACAATCAACATCACTGCTCATTTGGCATTCCTATGCAAGCTTAG